GCTGCTAGCCTAACGCCGTGTCCGCCGCACAAATTCTCTCCCGTTCATACTCTGATACGTTCAGCCAAGGGCCGATACAACGAACGATGCCCCCTACTCCTCCAGCGTAGTGATATCTCCCGGATCCAGACCCAGCTCCTGCGCCTTGAGCAGACGCCGCATGATCTTGCCCGACCGCGTCTTGGGCAGCGTCGGCGTGAAGTCGATCTCCGCCGGCACCGCAATCGGGCCCCAGCTCGTTGCGGACGTGCAGCTTCAGGGCGTTGACCATCTCCTCCGACGGGTCGTTGCCGACGCGCAGGGTCACGAAAGCCCTTGATGCTCTCGCCGCGCAGCTCGTCGGGCTTGCCGATGACCGCCGCCTCCGCCACCGACGGGTGCGACACCAGCGCGCTCTCCACCTCCGCCGAGCCGATGCGGTGGCCGGCCACGTTCAGCACGTCGTCGGCGCGGCCCACCACCATGTAGTAGCCGTCGGCGTCCCGCAGGGCCACGTCGCCGGTGAAGTACACGCCGGGATGGTGTTCCAGTCCCGCGCGTAGCGCTCCGGGTCGCCGAACACCGTGCGGAAGAAGTGCGGGAAGGGCCGCTTGATGACCAGCAGCCCGCCCTTGTCCGGCTCGGTGATGGGCTGCCCTCGCGGTCCACGATGTCCATCTCCGCCCGGCATCGGCGCGCCCACCCGCCCGGCTTCACCGGCATGGTGCCGTGGTGCCCAGGCACGGGCCGCCCGTCTCCGTCTGCCACCAGTTGTCGACGATGTGGCCCCACTCGCCGCTGCCGCAGATGTGCTCGTAGCTCCAGCGCAGCGCCTCGGGGTTCAGCGGCTCGCCGGCGCAGGTCAGGAACCGCAGCGAGCGCAGGTCGTACTGCTGCGGGTAGTCCTCGCCGTAGCGCATCAGCATCCGCAGCGCGGTGGGCGCGGTGAAGACGACGTTGACGCCGTATTTCTCGATGGTCTCGTAGAACACGCCGGGGTGCGGGTAGTCCACGCGCCCTCGCGGAACACCGTCGTCGCCCCGGCGACCAGCGGCGCGTAGACGATGTAGCTGTGCCCCACGACCCAGCCGATGTCCGACGTGCACCAGTAGACGTCGTCGTCCTTGACGTCCCAGAAGTTCTTGAAGTGGTAGTAGGTGCCCACCATGTAGCCGCCGTGCACGTGCTGCACACCCTTGGGCTTGCCGGTGGTGCCGCTGGTATAGAGGATGTACAGCGGGTCCTCCGAGTCCATCTCCTCGGCGGGGCAGTCGACGCTGCCCGAGGCTATAAGCGCGTCGAAGTCCACCTCGCGGGCGCCCAGCGACGCCTCGTCCGACGCGCCCTTGCGCCGCCAGACCACGACCTTCTCCACCACGTCCAGGTCCGCGACGGCCCGCTCGGTGATGCCCAGCAGGTCGACCTCGTTGCCCGCGCGGTAGCCAACGTCGGCGGTGATGACCACCTTGGCCTGGGCGTCCAGAATGCGGTCGCGCAGGGACCCGGAACTGAACCCGGCGTACACCACGCTGTGCACGCGCCGATGCGGGCGCAGGCCAGCATGGCGATGGCCCCCTCGGGCGTCAGCGGCATGTAGATGACCACCCGGTCGCCCTTGCCCACGCCCAGGGAGCGGAGGCCGTTGGCAAACCGGTTGACCAGCTGCGCCAGCCTGCCGTAGGTGAAGACGCGCTCCGAGCCGTCCTCGCCCAGCCAGATGAGTGCGGCCTTGTTGCGGTTGCCGTTGGTCAGGTGCCGGTCAAGGGCGTTCTGGGTGATGTTGCACTTCGCGCCCAGGAACCAGCGGAAGGTGGGGTAGTCCCACTGGAAACACGCTGTCCCACCGGCGGGTCCACTCCAGCTCCGATGCCACGCCCTCCCAGAACGCCTCCGGCGAGTCCATCGAGTCCCGGTAGGCCCCCTCGTAGTCCTGCAGAAACGCCTGCCGCACCAGGAAGTCCGGCGGCTGAATCTCCCCGGTCTCCTGGAGCAGGTGGTCAATCTGTCCTTGCTGCACCATGTCTGCGGCTCCTTTACTACCTGTTTTCTCTACCAATTATTGGGATTGACAAGTTACGGCAAATACTGCGAGCCGTCCCGTTGCGGATTTCATTATGTCTTGGGACATGATCAATATCGCCAGTTGCGGGATTTATCCATATGGAGTGAGCGCCGCCTTCTCTTAGAGCCTGTTTACAATCTCTTCAGGATTAGCACCGCGAAGGCGAGAACCACCATTTGCAGGCTGGTATTGAGCTTTCCCTCGCAGTTCTTCCATAGTCGGCGGCACTTCTCCAGCCAGGCGAAAGACCGCTCCACCACCCATCGTTTCGGCAGCACCACGAAGGTGTGCAGTTCGTTGCGTTTCACCACCTCCACCGAGGCTCCCAACAGGTTCTGCACCTCCGCAGCAAAGGGCTTCCCGGTGTAACCCCCGTCGACCATCACATTCTGCACCCGGCTCAGGTCGGCTCGGCTTTGTTCAAACATCGCCAAAGCCCCGGCCCGGTCGGTAACATCGGCCCGTGGTCACATGAATCGCATGGGGCAACCCCTGGCTGTCCACCGCGACGTGGCGCTTGATCCCGGACACCTTCTTGCCCGCGTCATAGCCCTTGTTCTCCGCGCTGTCGGTGTTCTTTACGCTCTGGGAGTCCACGATGCAGAAGCTGGTCTGCTCTGTCCGCCCATTGCTCTGCCGGACCGCGCCAACCGATTCTTTTTAAGACCCGCTCCAGAATGGACTCTTCCTCCGGGCCAGGGCGCTCACTCCATTGACGGAAATACTTGTAGCAGGTGCGCCAGTCGGGGAAGTCCGCTGGGAGCATCCGCCACTGGCAGCCGCTCTTGAGGAGGTAGAGCACGCCGCAGAAGACGTCGTACAGATCCACGGTGCGGGGCTTGGTCCGCCGTCGGGCCGATTCCAGCATGGGAAGAATCCGGGCGAATTGCTCCCGGCTGATGTCGCTGGGATAGGAATGAGACATGATTACCCTGCCTTGGTAATAGTCTCAACTTAACATATCAAACAGATCGTAGACAGATTCTTACAAATTCGCATCCATGAGAACGAAGATGCCGAATCAAGTCTCCTCGTTTCACTGAACTACGATCACTTCACGAATCGCCTCCACTGGCACACCACGAAGGCTATCCTCCCGACGCATCTCCATGTGTAATAGGATCGCTTCGGCCAGATTCTCGAGCACATCCTCCCTGGTCTTGCCCTGCCCGTGAGCCCCAGGTATTTCCAGGCAATGTGCAACGAACCAATCCTCGTCTTTCTCAATCACCGCCGTGAACTCGTTTCGCACCACAGCTTCCGGCTTTTGGAATACGAAGGTTGGCTCTGCGTCATCCGGCATCGGCTCCAGCTTTACCAGTGCCATTTTCTACTCCATATAGGATTCTTTGCGTTATTTCCTAACCACCCAGGTATGGGACCCATTCCATGGCGACAGTTTCCCGAACAGCTATTACTTCCCGCGTTGTGTCAGGCGGTAGATCGAACAGTATGTCTCGCATCGTTTTTTCCCGCTGCTCTTCCAGCACCCTCTTGATGGATTCAGCCAACCTCTCCCGAGCCTCCTCCATCGTCTTGCCTGTGGCCCTTGCACCGACGATCTCAGAACAGACGGCAAAGTAGAATGGCTCATCCCCGTTGTCATCAAACTCGAAAATCGCCGTAAACTCGTTTCGCATCGCCGTCGCCTCCTCCTGCTCGCAGGCCCGAGTGAAAATGCACTGCCAACAACACGGCCCGCCCCGGTTTCAGGTCTGGGGCGGGCCGTGGGCTTATCCGCATTTTAGCTTTCAGGAATTGGTGCGGCAAGGAATACCCCCGCCCGTGGCCGCCATCGTTGACCCTCTTCGCGCCAGTGGCCTACAATTCACGCGGCAATTGTCATAAAGCGCGCTACAAGCGTACATGTCTACGCAGGATTGTCGTGCGGCAGGGGGGAACAATGGCCCAAGAGGACTATTCGCGTCCTGATTTCCTGGTCGAGCCAGACTGGCTGGCATCTCACATCGATGACGCCAACGTGGTTGTCGTCGACTGCGACGTCGATGCCGCCTACAACAGGGGCCACATCCCAGGCTCGGTGGTGGTGCCCGACAATTTCGAAAAAGACCCCGACACCGGCCGCGTGCACCTGATGAACGCCGACCAGTTCAAGGCCATGTGCGAGCGGCTGGGCATCGGCGACGACACGCTGGTCGTCGGCTACGACAACTCCCAGGGCCTCTATGCCGCCAGGCTGTGGTGGGCGCTGAACACCTATGGCCACAGCAACGTCAAGGTCCTGAACGGCGGCTGGCGCGGCTGGATCTCCGCCGGTAACGGCGTCGGTCTGGATCGCCCAGGTGCGGCCGCGGGCGTGACGTTCACTCCAAACCGCGACGAGTCCCTGCTTGTAAAGGTTGACGAGCTCAAGGAGGCCTGCAACCTCGATGACGCCGTTATCTGGGATGTCCGCAGCGACGGCGAGTGGGACGGCAGCGAGCCCCGTGGCAACCAGCGGGCGGGCCACGTCCCCGGAGCAGTCCACCTCGAGTGGTTCAACGTTATGGACCGCCAGACCCACCGTTTCAGGCCGGCAAACGAAATCCGGCAGTTGCTGGCGGACCACGGCATAACCCCCGACAAGAACGTCTACACCTATTGACAGGGCGGCATCCGTGCGGCGCACGGCGTGTTTGTCATGCAACTGGTGGGATTCGGCAAGACCAAGAACTATGACGCCTCGATGGGGGAGTGGGCCAACCGGGAAGACACTCCGCTGGAGGTCTAGCGGGCAGGCATGGCCGCTGATCCCGAATGGGACAGCCAGCCGATTCGCGACCCGCTCTGGCAATCATCCACGGCAGGCGCGAGCGATTAGGAGACTTTCCAGATGAAACGATGGTCCCTGCTAATTCTGATGGCAGCGGCCTTGGCCGGGTCCTTGGCCTGCGGGGTTGTCGGTGGCTCTGCGCCGGACGGCCCGGGGAGGATGGTCCCGGACAACGTGCAGGAGCTCCTGATAGCTGATGTTGGCGAGGCCGCCCTCAGCCGCACCGACCTCCCCTCCAAGCTGGAAATGGACGTGGCCCAACTGGAGAACTTCGGCGACGTTGTTCGGATAGCAGCGCTGGAACTTCCCTCGGGAAACGTAACGATCTCCGAAGGGGACTTTAACTTCGAGCAAATCCGCGAAAACCTCAGGGAGAAAGGTTTCACTCCATCGACCTACCGCAAATTCAGCTTCTTGGAGTCGGCTGACGGCAGCGAATCCCACGCGCTTTTGGAAGATGACGGATATGTCGTCGCCGGAGATTCTGACGCCGTAAAAGACGTTCTCCGAGACAAGCGCCGCGACTCCGGCCTGCTGTGGAACGACAATGAGGGGGACCTGAATCTGGCCTCAGATCTGGCGGGGGAGGGCCTGGTGACGACCGCCGGCAGCAACTGCCAGTTGGAGAACAATGTCGGCTGCCGTGCCGCGGCCTGGGCCTTTACGAGGGGCGAGGAGCGCCGCACAGTGATCGAGGGCTCTGCCGCCCTGCTGTTCCGGGATGCGACAGCAGCTCAGGGGGCGGCCGCTGTCATTGAGAGGTCCATCGGGGCCAATGAACTGATTCGGCTCACCGAAATCCTCACCATCGAAACGACCATCACTCTGAAAGTAGACGTCGCCCGCGAAGACTTCTCCCTCCTGGAATTCCCCATCCCCCTGGGCCGCCGCAATTAGAGGCTGGACGTGGCCTGAAGACAATGGGCCCAGTACCCCTTCAGAATCCACCCCTCGCAGTGCGGCTCACCTTAGGGATGCACGAATCGGAACTAACCTCCTGCCATGGCAATCAACGGCCAAGCGGACTCGCTCAAGGGTGTAAGCGCCCAGCCAAGCGGAATCTGATTCATCCCCAAAGATTACCGCGGTGATGACCTCCATCCCCTCAATCCTCGCTTTTGCGTCTCCTAGCGGTCTCTGGATAACGCTCCCGTCAGCGAGTTCAAATTCCACCGTTTCAGTGGGTTCCACTCCCAAACGCTGAAGCGTCGAGGCAGGGAGAGAACTGAAGGTCGCTCCGGTATCTACCAAACCCTCGACCCATTCGAAACTGTCGCCGTTTAAATTCCCTATTTCAAATGGCCAAGAAAACAGTCCCATTTTGTTCTCTCCTGAACCTGCCACCGTGATGCATCAATAATATCAGGAACGACTACAGCGGCAGCGACACCACCTGGCGGGACTGGGTGCTGCGGGTCACGGCCTCGGTGAACTCCATGTAATGAACGCCCACGTCGAACGGCGTGCGGGTGATGGGTTCCTGGCCCCGGATGGCGCTGCAGAACTCCTCCTCTACCCGCCAGTAGCCTTGTCCCTCAGGCGGGTTGGCAATCTCGGCCATGGCGCTGTCGCCCCGCTGTCCGCCGTAAACGTTTAGCCCTGAGTCGACACGCAGCGTGCCCTCGCTGCCGTAGATCCAGACCTCGTTGCCCGTTCCGAAACCCGTTACCGCGCTGAATCGCATATTCGCCTGCGCCCCGCTGGCCAGATCGGCCAGGATGTCCACGTGGTCGGGGACGGTAACCGGCACCAGGCTGCCGCCCTCATCCCGGCGCTGCTTCACGTTGACGCTGGTGTTGGCCATGACTCGCGTGGCGGGCCCCACCCAGCGGATCATCGCCTCGTACCAGATCCCCATGTTCAGGATGTTGAAGCCGCTGAGATCGCGGTCGTTGCGCCAGTGCATCGGCCCGCCGATGTCGGCGAATCCGGGTGTGTAGGACTGCAGAGACACCGCCAGCACGTCGCCCACGTACCCCTCGGCGATCTTCTGGGCCAGCAGGTGGTCGATCTTGAACGTCAGCGGCGACGGAACGATCTGCGTCACCAGGCCGGGGTGCGCCCTCGACGCCTCCAGCATCTCCCGAGCCTCGGCAGCCGACGTCGCCATCCGCGCCTCGCACAGCACGTGCTTGCCCGCCTCCAGCGCGGCAATGGTCAGCGTGCGATGCATGTACGGCCAGGTACCGATGCAGACGGCGTTGATCGACTCGTCCTCCAGCAGTTCCTGCCAGCTGTCGTACACGGTGGGAATGTTGAACTGGTCGGCAACGACCTGTCCCGACTGCCGGGAGCGGTTCGCCACCGCCGAAATTTCTATGCCATCCACCTGGTGGAAGCCTGGAATATGCCGGTCGCGGGTATTCCGCCCCGCGCCAATCAGCCCGATTCTGATCCCTTCGTTTGCCATGATGCCTCCGTATTTACTAAGTGTCAGCCTGCTTATAGCTTACCGCGTGACCATCAGGTCAACCAGGCATTCATTGTGCGGGTCAACCGCCAGCACAACCCCTTCCAGTGCGTAAGAACCCATCAGAATCGGCGCGCCCTCTTCCCCAAACAGAACCATGGAGGTCGCTTCCCTCTCATCGATAAGAATTCTCATCTCACCAACTTGATCTTGGATGACGCTTCCGTCGGCCAATTGAGATACGACAACTCTTGCTGGCACGATTCCCAATTCCCCCAAAATACTTCCCGGAATCTGGGAGAATGTTGCACCAGTATCGACTATCGCATTCACAGTCTCGAACCGCGATCCGTCCACGGGGCCGATTTCCATAGGCCAATAGAACGTCCCCATCTATTTTCCCAATTTCCCGCTGCGACCCATCCGCAGAATCCGGGTTGGAACTAAGACGCGACGCAACGGGTCCACCGCCAGCCTGACTCCCTCCAAAGCGTGGGCACCCAACAGTGAAGCTACCCCCTCGGGGCCGAAGGTCATCCACGTAAATGTTTCCAGGCCATCAATCCGCACCCGGATTTCAGCAGCAAGGTCCTCTACTACCCGCCCGTCAGCCAATTCGGCTTCCACCGTGTCCGTGGGTACGATTCCCAGACGCTGAAGAATAGATCCAGGAACCTGAGAGTAGGATGCTCCGGTATCCACCAGGGTATCCACGACCTCGACGCGGTCCCCATTGGCGCTGACAACCTGCATTTCATGGTAAAACGCCCCCAGTATCACCCACTCCCTCCGGTGCCTATATCCTGCCCGTCCGTGAAATCAGTTGTTCACCCACAGGGTCAATCAGCAGCAGGAACTCCTGGAGCGCGTTGGAGCCAAGCAGGGCCTCGCCACCATCCTCGCCGAAGATGACGCGCATTGAACTCTCCGAGTCGTTGATAACCAGAACGGCCTGACCGACATCGCGTTCAATCACCCTGCCGTCAGCCTGCTCGAAGGGCAGCGCGTAACGCCTTTCGATGCCCAGCCGTTCCAGCATTCGCCCAGGGAAAACCGAGTAGGACGCCCCCGTATCGACCAGAGCGTCTACCGTCTGCAAGCGGTCCCGGTCGGCACTCCAGACGCCGACGGGCCAATAGAATTCTCCCATGCCGCTACATTTTACCGTTGAACTTCAACCGGCCCGTCCGCGGCACCAGTTCCTCGCTCACGGAATCCACCAGCAGCAGAAACCCCTGCAGTGTTCCCGCACCGATGAGCGGCTCGGCATCGTCTTCGCCGAATATCACCCTCTGGACGTCCTCATCGTCGTTAATTCTCAGCAATGCCCGGCCAATGTCCCGTTTAATGACACTGCCATCGGCCTGCTCGAATCCGCGCTCTCCAATGGGAACAATGCCCAGCCGTTCCAGGACACTCCGCGGAAACATCGAATACGACGCTCCGGTGTCGACCAGCGCATCCACCGTCTCGAGCCGCTCTCCGTCCGCCCGGGCTCCATATGCCAACGGACCAAGTGAATTCGCCCATATTGAACTGGTCCTCATCTTCCTCTGAAAGTACCGGGGCGACCAAAGACTGGTCGCCCCGATTGAACGCGCAGCTATCCCCCTACAGCGGCAGCGAGATGGCCTCCCCCGTCTGGGCGCTGCGGGTGACGGCCTCAGTGAACTCCATGTACTGAACGCCGATGTCGAACGGCGTGTGGGTGATCGCCTCCTCGCCGCGTATGGCGTTGATGAACTCCTCCTCCACCCGCCACTTGCCGCGCTTTTCCGGCGCGATGGGCAGCTCCGACAGGGCCTCGTCGCCGCGCTTTCCGCCCAGCACCTTGTCGAAGGGAGGCCCCTGCAGGCTGATGGTGCCGTCGTTCCCAAAAATCCAGAACTCCATACCTGTCTGCAGACCGGTCACCACGCTCCAGCTGAAGTCGGCAGCGGCCCCGCAGCCCATCTCCGCCAGCACATTCACGTGGTCAGGCACCGTAATCGACCGCAGCACGCCGTCATCGTCGCGGCGCCGGTTGGCGAACGTCTGCGTCATGGCCGTTACTTTCGTTGCCGGGCCCACGTAGCGCATGATGGTCTCGTACCAGATGCCCATGCGAGGATGTTGTAGCCGCTCAGGTTGCGGTCCTGCCGCCAATGCAGCGGAGCGTCGTAGTCGATGAACGTGTCTGCCCTGTTGGCCCGGGCGTGGTTGTCGCAGACCCGCAGTCGCACGGCGAGAATGTCGCCCACGTAACCGTCGTTGAGGAGGTCGATGACCGTGTTGTCGACCTGGAGCGTCTGCGGGGCCGGCACGATCTGCGTCACCAGCTCCGGACTCAGGCGGCTCGCGTCCAGCATCTGGTGCGCCTCGTCGGCGTTCATCGCCATCCGCGCCTCGGTCAGCACGTGCTTTCCCGACTCCAGCGAGGCCAGCACAAGGTTGCGGTGCATGTACGGCCACGTGCCGATGCAGACCGCGTCAATGGAATCGTCGTGCAGCAGCTCGACCCAGTTGTCGTAGACCTTGGGGATCTCGTACTCGCCGGCAATCCTCTCGCCGGACTCCCGGCTGCGGTTGGCAACGGCGACGATTTCAACGTCGCGCTGCTCGCGGAACCCGGGTATGTGGCGCAGTCGCGTGTTTGCCCCGGCCCCGATCAGGCCAACGCGGATAATTCCGTTCATCATTAGTAAGACTCCTTGGAGTATGGTGTTCCGCCAATTCTAACACGGTGCAATTCCCGCCAAAGGAAGGAAATAGCGGCGGCAAGACGCTTACATCAACCTTTATAATTCTTTGCGGCTCCTTTTTCATGCTGGTGATTTATGGGACTGCTGGACAAGCATTCGACCATTAGGGGATTCCTAAAAATTGCCTCTTTTCATCCCGTGGGTGGAGGGCGGACAGGGGGGGGGGGGGGGGGGGGGGAAGACCCGACGCTGCTGGACCGGCAGATGGTGCTGGTGGTCCGGCCCGTTTTCCCTTGGAACCGGCCCCGCCGCAACGACATCATCGTGCTCACGCCGCCCGGCCCGACGCCGGGACTGGCCGAGGGCACGTGGTTCATCAAGCGTATCGCCGGCATCCCCGACGAAGAGATCGTGCTGGCCGGTGGGCGGCTCTTCGCCGATGACGTGCTGCTGGCCGAACTGCCCGCCGACGGTTCCCGCATCTCGGGAAAGAGGCTGGAGTGGTGGAACGGCCCGGACGAGTACTTCGTCCTCGGCGACAATCCCCGCGATAGCCGCGACAGCCGCGCCTTCGGCCCCGTACCTGCCAACAACGTAATCGGCAGAGTCTGGTTCCGCATCTGGCCCCTCGGCGGCTTCGGCCCCATCCGCTAGGGAGTTGTAGCCATGACCGGATTGACGCGCCCGTATGGCTCAGTGAGGAACAGAAGCCACGTTACCGCACCATTGCGGCGACCACCTTCCCCCAGAGGAAGGTAGCTTTGACATTTAAGCTACTGTTTGGAGGCGGAATATGCAGAACGAGAACATCCAAGAGGGATTCGACTATATCCTCGGACAACTTCACGGTCTTCAAGCGGCTTGCGCGGTGCGTCGTCATTTGGCCAATGCCTCTGCGACAGAGTAGAGGACGCTTAGAGCCTGTCGACGATCTCTGGGATATGTTAAGTTGAGACTATTACCAAGGCAGGGTAATCATGTCTCATTCCTATCCCAGCGACATCAGCCGGGAGCGATTCGCCCGGATTCTTCCCATGCTGGAATCGGCCCGCCGACGGACCAAGCCCCGCACCGTGGACCTGTACGACGTTTTCTGCGGCGTGCTCTACTTGCTGAAGAGCGGTTGCCAGTGGCGGATGCTCCCGGCGGACTTCCCGGACTGGCGCACCTGCTACAAGTATTTCCGGCAATGGAGTGAGCGGCCCGGCCCGCAGGAAGAGTCCATTCTGGAGCAGGTCTTAAAAAAAATCGGTTGGCGCGGCCCGACAAAGCAATGGACGGAGCGAGCAGACCAGCTTCTGCATCGTGGACTCCCAGAGCGTCAAGAACACCGACAGCGCCGGTAACAAGGGCTATGACGCGGGCAAGAAGGTGTCCGGGATCAAGCGCCACGTCGCGGTGGACAGCCAGGGGTTGCCTCATGCGATTCATGTGACCACCGCCGACGTTACCGACCGGGCCGGGGCTTTGGCGATGTTTGAACAAAGCCGGGCCGACCTGAGCCGGGTGCAGAATGTGATGGCCGACGGGGGCTACACCGGGAAGCCCTTCGCCGCGACGGTGCAGAACCTGCTGGGAGCCTCGGTAGAAGTGGTGAAACGCAATGAACTGCACACTTTCGTGGTGCTGCCGAAACGCTGGGTGGTGGAGCGGTCCTTCGCCTGGCTGGAGAAGTGTCGCCGACTATGGAAGAACTGCGAGGGAAAGCTCAATACCAGTCTGCAAATGGTGGTCCTCGCCTTCACGGTGCTAATCCTGAAGAGATTGTAACAGCTCTTAGAGAAATCCTCCAAGGGATCGCTGACCATACCGTTGCGATCGATGTTCAGGGGGACCTACAGGATGTCTCACGAGAACGCCGTGGACCCTTCTACGAAGGGGTCCGGTACTCCATTGAGCAGATCACCCTACGGTTTGCAAACGCTCAGAGGTCAGGAGGCGAGTCTGAACTTCACCCACCCGACTAGGGTCTTCAGGCTGGGTTACTGAATCTGTTCAGAGCCAGACTGTGTCAGCGGCATCCACCAAGTCTTCATTTTCCAAACCAAAGGGTTAGCGTTATCGCGGAACTTTAGGGTGCGTCACGCCGATAATCGCCTCGCCCCTTTCCTATACACCCCCAAATGTAATATCATGAATAGCTGTGCTTTCTATTTGCCCCATCTGTGAGTTGCGTTGGTGACTGACCCGAAATTACGGCCGGGATCGCTGGTCCGCGACAACCGCTCCAGGGTGGGCCGGGTTGTCGGGAGTACCGGCACAAGGGCCATCGACGGAGAGATGGTCGATGTCGTCGCCGTCGATTTCTGGGGAGATGAGCAGAAAAGGCTTGTAAACTCCCTCAATGTTCTGGAAGACGACACCCCGGAGGCCCTGCTGCTGGAAAAACCCGCGACACTGGAGTCATGGGCGGATGACGCGCCGCTAAAGCTGGTCGCCCTCGCCCTGTCCGTCGACGGAGGCACCGGCAAGGTCGCCGACATCCGCGCCAAGCTCGATGACCGGGTGATCGGCACTGGTCGGTGGGAAGGCTGGTGGAAAAGGCAGCCGCAGTTGATGCGGCAGCTTCCGGAGCATTTCAGGATCGCCAAGGTCGGCAAGGACAGCGAGTACACCCTCCTCACCAGCGTCGGTGCGGTCGCCGCCTCCGGTGATACGAAGTCCGCCCGCGTCGCCGAGCGCGGTGCCGCAACCGACTGGAAGGCATGGCTGGAAGCCCCCACCCACACACCCGCTCCCGGTCGGTTTCCCACGCGGCAGGTCGCCACCTCACTTTCCAGGTGGCCCACCGACACCATAGAGGCCGCCCTTCTGCGGCTCATCACCAGCGCGGAAGAACTTTCGGCGTCCCGCGACGCAGCGGCTCAGGCCGCCGAGGGGTGGCTCAGGGCGGTGGCCCAGGCGGCCCTGCGGTGGCGCGAAGTCGGTGGCAATGATTCCAGGGGATACATCGCCGCCCGCGTTGGCGAGGTGCTGGCCCGGTTGGCAAGGATCGCCGGAGACCGCACGCCCCAGGACCTGCTCCTCCAGGCCGGCGGAATCGCAGGCGACATCGACGCCTGGCGCAGGGGATTCCTCGCCGGCATGTGGGAGTCCTTCGAGGGCGAAGACGCCCGCGATATGTACCTGAACTCCGCCGCAGTCCTGGGACGCCAGGCACGGTCAGACCTGGCGCGTGAGACCTTTGCCGCGGCCTTCGGCCCGGACTTTTCCGAGCGGCGTCATTCGGAGCTCGACCGCCTCCTGACGCCTTGCCCGAGGAACAGCGGACACAGCTACTGCAGGAGGTGGCCTCCTCCGCATCGACCAGCCAGAGGGACGGCCTGCTGGACTACATCGCCAAGAGCCGGCACACCTCCGGCCCCGAACACTTGTGGCTGCGGCTGGTGGCGACCCTTACCATGGGAGGCGGGCAGGGCGAACTGTCCACCCGAACCTCGCGCGAACTGGCGGACGCACTGGAACACCCCGAGAAATACGGCGGCTCCGTTCAGGCGCTAATCGCCGCTGCGGCAGGCAAGGTAGTCGAAGTTGGTTTCACTGCAAAAGCTGAGGTCCAGAAGCGCTCCGCCGAGGCCCAAGCGAAAATAGACGCGGAACGCCAGGAACAAGAGCGGCTGCGCCAGCAGGTCCGCGAGCGCAACGCCGAGCTCGCCGCCAACCGCGAGGAGTCACGGCTGGAAGTCCGTCAGGACATGCTGCTCGCCGTCGGTGAAGTTCTGCAGTCAGTGTCTGGCGGGAACGCCTCGAAGGGATTGGCGGAAAACGTGGCGGCCGGGCTGACCCTTGCCCTGCGTGCCGGCGGGGCCGAACCACTGGAAACACCCGGAGACATGGTCACTTTCGACCCCGAGCGGCACCAGGCGGATGGCAAAGTGCCCGCCGACGGCGCAGTGAGTGTCACTTCCCCCGGGGTCGTATACCGCGGCGGGACCCATGGCGACCGAGTGCTGCTCAAAGCACGGGTCAAACACGAGGCAGGTTAATGGAAATCGTAGGCATCGACTTTGGCACTACCAATGTCCGCATCTCCACTTGGGACCAGGATGACCCAGACGCTGGTCTGCCGCAGGCCCGTCTCATCGGTAGGGGCAATACCACCACTATGCCGGTGGTCGTCGCCCTGCAGAGACGCGGCGAGGGAGACGTATCCATCGTTGTCGGCGAGGACGCCGACTCGCTGGAAGACGGCGACAACACCCTCGTTATCCGCAACATCAAGCGTTGGGCGCTGTCCGGCGACCCCTACGTGAAGTGGCGGCTGGAAATCAGCGATACCGGATGGCCCGCCTGGTGGAACCCCGAACTCGGCTGTGTCGAGTCCTGGGGTCAGCATTTCCAGGTCAAGGACCTGATTGGCGAGATCCTCAAGGAAGCTGTGAGCCGCGCCGGTCTGACGCCCGGGTTCACTTGGCGGGCCGGCTGCCCGGTGCAGTCCGGCTATGACTACCGGTCCATGCTCACCGAGGTCCTCAAGGGCCTGTCGGGACAGGGCCGCGTGCAATGGGTGATCGACGAGCCGGTGCTTTTCCTGGCGGCGGCGCAGCGCAACATCGACCCCGATTCCCAGGACAAGTTGCAGGGTTCGTACCTCGTGTACGACCTCGGCGGCGGCTCATTCGACTGCGCCCTCGTCGACATCCGCGACGACGGCGAGATGATCGTCTTTGGCGCCGACGGAGACCCCTTGCTCGGCGGCTCCAATATCGACCGCAACCTCGCCACCAGGCTGAACGGAGCGGAAAACCTCATCCGCCTGGCCAAGGAGCAGGCCTCTCCCGGCAATCCCACCGTTACCTTCGGTGGCAGCGTCGCCCTGACATGGGCCGATGTGGAGGCCGAGCTCAAGGTTGGCAGCTTCATCCAGCGCTCCCTGATGGCCATGCGCGACGCCTACATCGGCGCCCGGTCCGTGGTCTTCGGATCGATGACAGACCCGGACGAGGAAACCGGCGAGGTTCAGTTTGTCTGGCAGCGCGACTACTCCCAGATGGCGCGGGACCTCGACGGCGTCATAATGTTCGGCGGACCCACCCGCTCGCCCTTCTTCTCGCAGAACATGGCCCGTTGGTTCGGCGACACCAAGGTGATGTTGGCCAGCGACCTCATCGGCGGCGTACCCGACCCGGAGATCACCGGGGTCAGCATGGGGGCCTGCTATTTCCCGTCCGGCAACAACTTCCATCAGGTGCCCACGCGCCTGCCCTACCAGGTCTCCCTCGAGAACACCAGCACCGGCCGCGACGAGGACAGGGTCCAGTACCGCCCTCACGAGCATTTCGTCAAGAGTTTCAAGCCCGCCGAGCAGTTCGAGTCGCCGTGGCTGGCCCAGGAGAAGGACCTCCCCCAGCAGTACGAGCTGACCATCACCGACCCGGACGGCGTCGTCCTGGAGCAGGTGTCGGTAGATGGATTCCTCGAAGACAATCACCGCCAGCCCGCAACGGGCCTCCGGCTGGTCATCGACCGGCTCGGCCCCGTCTACGTCGAGAAGCGGTCGGAGGGCGTCGGTCTGCCGTGGAGCAGGAAAATCCAGGTCGTCGAGAACCCGCCGTGGCAGACAGACGAGCAGCGCGAAAAGCTGGAAACGCTGCGCCAGCGCGAGCGAGAACGCGAACGCGGCCGCATAGCCCAGGCCCAGCTCCAGCTCGAAGGCCAGCGCCAGCACCCCGAACCCTAGCAAACCCCACCACAACAACACAAAAAAAGCGGGCGCCCCTTAACCAGGGCGCCCGTTCCGAGTTTCCGTATCCTCGACTGTAGAGAGCCAGCCAAACCAGCCACACATCCCCAGTCTAGAAGATCAGGTCAATCCGGCTGACCAAATCAGCCAGCCACCCCGCCATTCCCGCACTCCCACCCGTAATTCCCCCGAAAGCAGGAACCCCGAGCCCGTAATCCCCAAAAGAAAAACAGGCGCCCCAATCAAAGGGCGCCCGTTCTGGTATCACCCGCCCCACAGAATCAGCCGGTTCCACACGGTCTTATTCCAACGCCACCCCGCCATTCCCGCGAAAGCGGGAACCCCGAGCCCGTAATCCCCAAAAGAAAACAGGCGCCCCGATCGAAGGGACGCCCGCTCTGAATTCCCGAATCCCCGTCTGTCGAGAGGCGGCTAAACCCGCCACATATCCCCGGTCTGGAAGATCAGGTCAATCTGGCTGACCGAGTCGGCCGGCCACCCCGCCATCTTCATCCAGTCCTCGAAGTGGGACTGCTCCACCGCCTCGCACTCGGTGAACACCTTGCCCTGCGACGTGTCGGCGTACACCTTCAGGATCGTCGTGCGCCGGTCGGGACGCCACTTGCTGACCCCTCCCGTGTAAGCGCCCAGCTTGTCCCGGAATTGCTCCTCGGTCAGTCCATCGATGCTATGCGTGGCTAGAAACCTGGCCATGCCGGTGTCACCTCATTCGCAACTACTTGCCCGTATTCGTTGAGCCGAATGGCCCCTGTCGCCTGACGCTCGGTCTGCAATCTCCGGCAATCGGCCCCGCAATTCCCCGTAATCTCCCCATCCCCCGTCATTCTCGCGACATCCCCGTCGTACCCGCATCCCCCGTCATTCCCGCGAAAGCGGGAATCCAAGCCCCGACCGTCCTCGCTGCCAGCCGACAGGGACGCCCATCAACCCACCGTACTCAAATCGTCCCTTTGGCTAGTCCTGTGGCGGAACGAACGGATACGGGATCGGCGGCCCGTCCCGCAGCGGCAGCGCCACCGTGGCCGTGCCCGGCATGCTCTCGATGCCGTCCTGCGTCTTCATGCCGATTTCCAGGTCCACCAGCCCCATGCCGCCCTTTTCCTGCTTGCCCGTGATCCGGCCCCACATGATCAGCACGTCGCCCGGCACCAGCATCGCCCGGTGCTCGAACTGCGCCTTCCACGGCCAGCCGTTGGGCAGCGTCCAGTCCTTCAGGTACTGCGGCACCACGCTCTGCTTCCACGACCCGTGCACCAGGATGCTCGGGTTCTTGTCGTGGTTCAGGCCAAAGTCCAGATCATAGTGAATCCGGTGGAAGTTCTCTATCGCCGCGCTCCACCGGAACAGTGCGTGGGCGTGGGAGCGTAAATGTACTTGGGCAGCTCGTCCCCAACATCCACGTCCTCGAAATAGGTCTGCTTCTTGTTGCGTAGCTGCTCCGCCGAGAGCTTCTCGTTGTGCTCGAGAATCTTCTCCGCCGGCATCTGCAACAGGTCATCCAGGCTCGCGCTCATTGTCGTGCCTCTCCCGTTGGACTGCCCGGCCTAGCGCCGGATGGACGACTGCCGCGTGATGCACAGCAGGTCGTCGTCCTGGTTCTTGTAGCTCGTCTCCACCGTGATGATCAGGAACGCCCGCCCGTCGCGGCCGGAGCGTTCGCGGATGTCCGAGTACCGGTTCTGGAAGAATATCTTGTCCCCGATGCTCGGGTACTTGTAGATCTCCAGCTCGTTACCCGCGTTCAGCACCCGCACCAGATTCGTCGGGACATGGGGCAGCGCGCCGGGGCGCTCCACGCTCCCGATTCCGTCCGACTCCGGGTTCTCATTGAACGCCCGGGTGATCGGGTCCTCCTGCTCCGGACGATGGCGCCCCACCATGTAGCTCACCATAATCGGCGGAGCGATCACACCCCCGAACTTGGTCCCCTCGGCAAAGTCCTTGTCCCAGTACCGCGGGTCGGGGTCCATCACCGCCTGCGTGAACCGCCTCAGGTATTCCTCGTCAACGTACCCCCACGATTCGACAACCTCCCCCTCCACGCCGATCATCGCTCGGACCTCCGGCGTCAGGGCCGATTCCGTGTCGTGCTGGGCCTGCTGGGTCATGGCCGTCTCCTTTTGACATAGGGAAAGGGTAGCTGTGCCAACTGCTATATCGGCAAAAGCCTACCCCAGCCCCCCAATTTCGTCAACAGAAATAAGTGGCACCCGCCTCAGGGTTAAGCAGCGATTCCAGGTCCGCGGCCAGTTAATCGCATACCTCCCGCGAAACCCAGAATCGCGCCCGCACAGGCTTTGATCATCCAGTCGGATGTGGAAATGAGGGTGTTCTGCGCCGGCGTCGGAGATTCGACGCCCACGGGAGCAAGCCAGACAAGCACACCGGCACTGGCTACGATCAAGCCAAACAGGACTGTCAGGACCGCGATTGGGAAAAGGGCACTACTCAAGTCTGTCCAGCGGGTGGAAAATGGTTCGACACTCGCGGCCAATTCCGACTGCCTCCGGAGAGGCTCTACCTTGTAATGCAGCCAAATGGCATACATAGGGAAGCCGAAACCAACGAGCAGCATTGCGAGCCCAATAAATATCATTGATATACCCAGTATCGGAGCAATCGTTTCCAAGTCATCACTCCTGTTCCCTTTGCTCACCCTGCTTATATCCCATTATCCCGTTGCACCCGTGGCCGGGTCAACGAGTCTCTTCGCACCAATTGATGACACTTGCCCCTTGCCAAGCCTCATGACAACTCTCTACGATTTAAGTACGTTAGTTCTATATCACCAGTGCCGCCTCCCAGAGGCCAGCTTATCCCCAGACAAACGCGGGAAGAGTGAGAGTTGACTAAATCAGTATGCCGACGCTGTTATTTGACCAGGACCATCAGGCTCAACAAACGACGCCCCAGCGACAACTACATCTATCGCTGCCTCGACTGCGGGTACCTGTACAGCCCGCCGCAGCCCCCGTCCCAGCCGCAGCCCTCCGCCACGGAGCCTCGCTCCCCCGGCGCAAGTCGCTGACCGGTGGCAACACCCCCGACGGCCATCGCATCCACGCCATCGCCCTCCCGCCGTCCCGCGACGCACGGGAGGAGCGTCCTGCGCCGCTGTCCCCCGTGGCCTTCGCCCGCGACGTCCTCGGCGTCAACCTGTGGCACAAGCAGGAAGAGGTCCTCATGGCCCTCACCACCCATCGCCGCGTCGCCGTCAAGGCCGGCAACGGCCTCGGCAAGGGCTTCTGCGCCGCCGTCGCGGTGCTCTGGTTCATCCACACCAATCAGGACGCCATCGTCCTCACCACCGCGCCCACCTTCCGCCAGGTGCGCCACATCCTCTGGCGGCAGATCCACCGCCTCTACCGCCCCGCCGCGCCGGTCCTCGGCGGCACCATGCTCGACACCCGCTGGGAGCTCGCCGACGACCGCTACGCCCTCGGCCTGTCCGCCGACGGTGCCGACCAGTTCCAGGGTTTCCACAGCCCCAACATGTTCATCGTCGTCGACGAGGCCGAGGGCGTCAGCGACGACATCTACGACGCCATCGAGTCCGTCATGACCTCCGCCGAACCCCTGCTGCTCCTCATTGGCAACCCCACCTCCATCGGTGGGGCCTTCCGCCGCGCCTTCCACGAGGAGCGCCAGATCTACCGCAACATCACCATCTCTGCCTTCGACAGCCCCAATGTCCAGGCCGGCCGCGTCGTCATCCCCGGCCTCACCACCGCCGCATGGGTAGAGGAGCGCAAGCAGGTCTGGGGCGAGGGAACTCCCCGTTTTCGCGCCCGCGTCCTCGGCGAGTTCCCAGACCAGGGTGACAACACCCTTTTCAGCCTCAGCGATCTCAGGGCCGCGGTGGACCGCAAGCTGCCCGCCGACGGTGAGACCGACGATGTAGTACTCGGCGTAGACGTCGCCCGCTTCGGCGACGACCGCAGCGTCATACTCCGGCGTCGCGGCAATCGCGTCGAGGACATCCAGGTCCTGCACCACCTGGACAATATGGAGGTGGCCGAATTGGTCGCCGCCGCCATTCGAGAGCACAACCCTGTCCGCGTGCACGTAGACGAGATCGGCTGGGGCTCTGGCGTCGTCGACCGGCTCCGGCAGCTCGGACACCCCGTCCGCGGCGTCAACGTCGCCCGCGCCTCCCGCTTGCCCGGCATGTTCTCCAACCTGCGTTCCGAAGGTTATTGGACCCTTGCCGATCGAGTCAGGCTGGGAATCATCAGTATCCCCGACGACAAGGAACTCATCAACGAGCTGGCAGCAATACGCTACGCCAACGACGATCTGGGGCGCCGCAAGATAGAGCCCAAGGAGCACATGCGGAAGCGCGGCCTGCCCTCACCCGACAAAGCCGACGCCCTGATGCTTGCTTTCCTCGCCCCCAAAGGAAGGCTCCAGCTGTGGGTCTGACTGCCGAAACTTCACACCTGCCCCTGGCGGCGGGCCCTGTGCTCGCCCAGCAGGGCAATCGCGTCTCGAACGGCGGAGGCCCTTATAAGTCGTCTTTCCCGCGCAGGCGGGAATCCAAACCCCCGTCTACCCTCGCACCCGATAAGTCGTCATTCCCGCGCAGGCGGGAATCCAAACCCCGTCTACCCGTCAGCACCCGCGAACATCGAATAGGACCGGCACTGCCACTCCCATCTCCACCGCCATCAGACCAATTTTGTGTCCTGAGAAATAAGACGCGATTGCCCTTGCTCGCCCAGAAATCCAAATGTCTCGCTTTGACAGGAGAAAATAAGATGTACCGTCGCGGAGCCAGTCTCGCCTCTATCCGTCGCCAGGTGGATGCTCTGAAGCGCAAATTCGCCCCCGAGCTCGCCATCTTGCGGCTCAGCCGAGTCGCCAATGAGATCACCGAGCTCTGGCACATCGCCATTGCAAACAAGCAGCCCAAACCCGACCCCTACGCCGCGTCCGTAAGGTGGCCGACGCCGGCTTCCGACTTCATACTCATATGGCCTTCGAGAAAATAACCTCCAGCGGTGCATCGACGACGACAGGCGTCCTGTAATAAGGGGAATATCACCACCATCCTCCCCTGGTCCGCCAATGGTCCTGGCTGAACAACCTGACGGCATATCCCAGGCACCGCCTGATCCCCGCGATCTTTCGTCACCCCCGCGAAAGCGGGGGCCCAAACCCCCGTAACCCCGGATCGGCCCCACCCAGGTCGCACCCAACCGCCATCCCCGCTCGCGGTGAGCCTGTCGAACCACGAGCCTGTCGGACCACGGGGCCGCCACTCAACGCTCGGAAACGAGTGGAAATGAGCGGGAATAGCAAAATTTTCAGCACCCAACCGCCACCACTGTCCCTACCAATCGTCATCCCCGCGAAAGCGGGGGCCCAAACCCCCGTAACCCAGGATCGGCCCCGCCCAGGTCGCACCCAACCGCCATCCCCGCTCGCGGTGAACCCGCCGAACCAGGAGCCTGCCGGGACCACGGGACCGCCACTCAACGCTCGGAAATGACTGGAAATGATCGGGAATAGCGAAATTCTCAGCACCCAACCGCCATCACTGTCGCTACCAACCGTCATCCCCGCGATCTTTCGTCATCCCCGCGAAAGCGGGGACCCAAACCCCCGTAACCCCGGAACGGCCCCACCCAGGTCGCACCCAAACCCAAACAAGGAGGCTGACCAAATGCTCCAGAAACTCGCCCTCCGCCTGC